TAATTCTTATATATATATAAGAATTTATGGTTAAAGTGCGAAGAACATTATATATAACAAAGGCAACACACAAAACTTTAAAAAAATGCCCCTTTGGACGTAATTTAAAATCTGAAACCTTTCAGTTTTTTTTTTTTTGTTTGTTTGTTTGTTTTTTTGTTTTTGTTTTTAGTTTAGAGTCATAAAATATGTTAACAGAGCAGCTGCTTTCGTAAATTACACAGGAATGTATTTTCGGTTTAATCTAAGACAACAAATGAAATCTAGAAACATTTTGAAACTACTTCTATTATGCAAAATTATTATTTTGCAATACTTTCTTGTAAATTTGCAGTTTCATGTTCACGATTATTACAAAGTTTTTGTCATAATTATGGATGCAAAGAGTGGAACATTCTTTCTAATATCTGCATGCAGTATTAATTTAACATCTGCTGAAAATTTGACTTTGTTAACTACTCAGCCTTAGTTTCATTTCAGGTATCAAACCTTAGCAACATCGACTGAGTCTGACAGCCAGAAAAATCTCCAGTCACATCGAAAACTTTAACTTTGCAAATCAGAAAATTTTCTCTATTCTTTTAAGATTTTTTAACATCCAATTCCTTGTTATTTCGGTTCTTTAGTAAGAAATATAATATATATTTCATATTCTCAATGTAAACTAATGCTCAACCTAAATGTAAATTGTGCTATGAAATAGCACAATTTACATTTACGTTTTTATTCTAAAGCTGTTTAGTTTTCGAAATTATTTAAAAAAGATTATTATACTGCATTAATTAAGATGCGATAGATTTGATTTTTTAAAATCAAAATTGATTCATTTCAAATTAAACGGTAATACTATGAAAAATGAAACGATAAATTTGTAAAATTTGTTAAAATTCATTTAAGTTTGGAGAAGACTATTTGCTTTTGATTTCATAGCACTTTTTCTTTCCTCATACAGCTTCAGATATAGCTTAAAATACTGAAACGTCTGATGAAAAAATATACATTGAGGATGCACTGTGTCAAAAACTGCTACGCTAACTATACGATTACTGGCATAATATATTATTAACTTAATAATATAGATAATAATTAATAATAATTAACTTAATAGATACAAATCATAAGATGCACTCATTTTTCTTGAATTAATATTTGAAATTTGCGGCTTCTCAACTTCTGCATCATCTTTCTTTAGCACTCTTGTTTATTGTACCTCCCGTAATATGAAGGGTCATGTAAAATGTGTGTAAGAAGGAATTTCAAGCACTTGAAAAAGGCTTATAGCATGTTTTTATTGCTGCAAATATTATGCAACATGTCCTTAATGTTTTGTATTTTGTTTTGGTGACAATTTGAATAACTGGCAACATTCCATTTGATAAAAGTCCCCAGTAGTATTTCCTCTGAATCACAAAGAACAGGTGAAAATTATCGTACAGATGAAAGTTTTTATTACATCCTTTTGGAAATCGGTTTCAAGATAATACGCACGTGTGTCTTTATCTTTAATTTTTCGAAAGTGTTCATTCACAATTACATCAGATTTAACTAAAAATTAGGAAAATTTCAGAATATTTTTTATGTGAAAATAATGTTTCATTTGGGCCTCAAAATAATACATTTTAAGCAGCTCATGTTTGAGCTAAAGCAGTTGCCCTGTTATTTGCAACAAATGTCTGTCCTTTTAGCAAACAGTTCGTTTGATCAATCGTTTTACTTTCTGTACACCAACTTTTTATTTTCTGTACTTTTGATATCTTTCAGTTTTATGTCTTTGACGTGAAAATTTTATTGTTTTAATGTAAAACTTTATCCAATTTTTAGTACCTTCGAATAACAATAAACATCGGAAGAAAACTGCAAAATCCGTAAATTTCGAATTCTACAACGCCAAATCTAGCATTAATGAGTCGTTTTTTTTTTTTTTTTTTTTTTTTTTTTTTTTTTTTTTTTTTTAAGTTCATGAGACACTAAAAGTAAATCTTATTGATTGCTTTTAGAAAATGTTGCAGGGCACTAAGTTAAAAGCTGGATTGTTAAAATTTTAATTTGGGAAATCACATCCTTTTATGATAACATATGTGGCAAAACCGTCTTCAGAGTCATCAGTACTAAAATGATCTGCCGATTTCTTCTCTAGTTTTTTAATTCAGTGTTCGGTAGAATTCCCTTCCGATCCATTATTTGAAACTATAGGTGAATCATTTAAAGAATGAAACTGAAGATTTTTTTGTCTGCGATCCCGATCTTCTCAGCAAACATATTTTAAAAATGCATGCATGTGATTTTATAGTTGTTTTTCGGCTTGTGATATCGATCCCTCCGTTTCTATTTCATCTTGATTCAAGAACAGAGAAAATGAAATACTAATTTAGCATAAGTGAAATCTATTTTCAAAAGAAGGACTCCAGAAATATTCCTAGGCCGCATATCAATTTAAAAATTCGTTAATAGTCCATTCTAGCAGCATCAGCTACGTAGTAGAGGAAGGAATTGTTAATAGAAAGACAACAGAATGAAGACTAGAATGGCTGTACTCATTTTTCTAGGTAAATAAAACTGATCCATTGGCTAAATAACTATTCAAATCGAAACATGGTGTTTACTTTACCACATGCCAGACCTGCGGGAAAATGTAAAGAGAGGATGCATTTAACTCTAGAGCTAATGCCAGGCAAGGATATCTTCTAATTAAATATGATGTACCCTTTTCAATTGTATTACTAAGCTGTAATATAAAATAGTTTCTCTACAGACGACAAGGAACAATATCACCTATCTGTTTTGTCACCATCTTCTCTGTAAAATCATTAGCATTATTTGACTTTTTGTTCCTACGTTTTCCTTTCTACTCTTTTTCACTACCTTTATCTCCAATACCACACTTCTGAAAGATGTTACAATATCTCAGAGAAAAAAATCTGTTTATGAGAGTATTGTAGTGCTTGTTTAAGTACCTACTAACTTTATAATTTCAATACTAAATGGATGTAGATAAAGTATAAAAACATTAAACTGTATTAACAATAGAATTTGGCTTAGGCTATTGTATTATGCATATAACCATTATTTTTTTATAAATAGTAAACATTATTTGGATTCAAGAAAATATTTTTCACTATCGAAAACTTTTAATAGTATTTTAACGCAGCATAAAATTTAATACGGGAAAGCGCAAGCAAGCACAGCAGAGTTTTGTGTCATTTAACTATTGCCAAACGTGGCAAAAGTAATACCAAATAAACAAAGTAATACCAAAATGATTTTTTTTTATTTTCACTTGCGTACGGGTTCGTAAAGAATGAATGTACACAGAGCAGATGACAGCCTGATAAACTTTATTTTATCAAAAGAAATACTTCTGTTCTGGAACTTTCCACAAAAAGACTCATACAGCTCTTCACAGTACCACAGAGTACAATCAGTAGTTACACTTAAGATTACTAAGAACGTTAAACACAACGCAATGCCAAGCGCATCTAAACAGGCGAAACTGTCAGGGATATTTCAGTACTCCGAAGTCGCTCTTAACTAACAACTATTGAGAGCAGATGCTCCCTCTTTTCTTATATAGTTTTCACCCGGCTGCCGAGAAACCTCTAATGATTTCTATTTCTCTAAATGACTGGAAGGCATATAAAGGCCGGATACGATTACAGTTGCATATAAAGAGTAATTACAGTTGTTCAGTTACAATACCCTTTACAGTTATACAAGAACAGGAACAAAATATCGCCATGGGCATGAAAAATTAATCTCCTAGTCTGGCGGCACCAGAAATTTGTCACCAAATATTCGTCTGGCGATATCTCGCCAGTTTAGCGAGCCACTAAAATTATTTATATGTGTACTAAATTCGCAACAGTAATTTTTTGTTAATCGTGATCGACAAAATTTCCTTAGCGATCAACATGTGGCTATACGTGATATAGAGTAAGGTTTGTGAATAAAAATTATTCTTCTGTGCAAATCTGACATCATTGTGTGAAATCTGATATTTGATCTGTGAATCTGATTCTGTCAGTGATTTCTGTCAGATTTTGTATTGATTGCAAATGATCAAAACTATACTTATTCTGAGCGATCAAAAATGTCAAAATTACTTTTCGCAACTACACTTTGCAATGTTTATTAATTTACGTTTTTAATAGAATCAAACATCAGTCGGAGCGAAATCGTGAAATGTTAGCGGAACAGACATAAAGCAAATGCAAAGTAAATTAGGTGTGAAGATAACCTTCGATAAAACGCAAAGAAATGCGTCACTTGCACTGACATTAATTTGCAAACAAACATTAACAATTCAGAAGTCATTTGTCTTTTCCCCCCGCCACATTTAATGTAATTCATTTGCAATATCATGTGAGAAAGATTTGACATCAGAGTATTTCTTGAGAATTGACTGCTTTTAATTCTTTACTGAAATATACTGCTTGAGCATATTTCAGTAAATAATTAAATTTTAAATTGAGGAAAATTTAAGGCAATGTCTTGGCAAACATTTGCAGCAAGTTCTGTTATACCTTTATTATCCCCCTCTATTTTAGCTTTAAATTTGTCATCTGCAGCATTTATATCTTCCTAAATAAGCATTTATCCGTTTTTAGATTTTAAAAATGATTTTATGTCTACTTAATGCCTTGCACGCTATTTTTCTGTATGACATTTTTTTAAAAAAATATATTGAGGATAATCGAGAAATTCACGCGCGGTTAAGCAACTAATTATAGGCTAGCAAATCATTACGACACGTAGGTTTGGTTGGAAAAAACGTAAGTTCTCTGGCCTCGAAGTTAACAAAGCCTCGGAAAAAATATTAGTGTTTTGTTTATAATTCCTTTTCTGCTGTTGTATTATTGAAAATCATTTCATCATTTCTGACACGCACATACTACAGCTAGAGGACAAATGACAACAAGGCAGTGAGTGCTTAATCTTTTGCAGGCGAGTTTACGCAACGTGCTGAGAAGCTGTTTTATCTGAAATATTGCTCATAAACCTATCATCAGTTTTAAACATCATCTTCTTCCAAATATTTCCTCTTCTCTACTAACAAGGATCGCAACACTCGTTTGACAACCGCGCTTAGATGTACGTACACTGTAGTCTGCGTGTTCATTTTAACATAAAAAAAAGTGAGTGAAACGTTTCAAGGTAAGTAAAATTAATTACTTCAAATGGAATTTTACTCCATATGCCATATTTAATATTTCACACTAATGTATGGTTCCTTGTTCTAAAAAATTGTCGTAGAAAATGCATATAGGTAATGATTGCCGTAAAAATTTGGTCTTAAAAAATTACTTCCGAGAAAAGAAGTTTTCTTACTTTGCATAGGTTATTTCATTGTGTATATGTAATTATTCTAATCATTAAATCCTGTTATTGTTGCATGTTCCTGTGAAAGTCGTGTTATTGTAATAGATAAGTATGAGATCCATGTGATCTTATTATTATGGCCTTGTTATGAATTTTTACACATATTTTCAAAATTGATTTAACTGAATATCTTTTCTTAATCCCTGAAATGTAAGAAACCATTAACTTGTTCTAACATGACCAAGAGCTTTTTCCTGACTTACAAAATTTCTAAATCCGTCCTTAGGCCACTTAGCTGTTTAACCATCACCGAACAGCCAAAGTAATCAGAGAACAATTTTTTAACAGGATAAATTGCAAACAGTTAGTTATCTTGCACGATGAAATCTCTAAATGCCTTGCAAATTCCTGTCTTTTAATTCTATGTTTCGTTTAGAAATTGCTTGAAAAAAGCTTGTTTAATTATATCTTCTTTACCAGAGAAAGCTAAAGAGTTTTTGAATTAGAACATGTATTAATCTCTGTACTTAATTTTTGTCCATCTTTGAAATACATATAGACAGTTAGAGCACTAACACATTGTTTTAGGAAGAAGACTGTAAATAAATGTAAACTAAATACACATTACACTGCAACACAAGGCGTCCATAATTTATGTGCCGGATAATGATGTGTTTTAAATAATACAGAATAAGAGATAAGGAAAAACGATTTAGTGAATTTTATTCAACACTTAAAGGAATTTTATATTAATAATAATATGAGCACCACTAGCTGCTCGGATAATATCAAGTCTGTTCTTGATTCCCCTCCCGACGTTTATTAAGTATTTTCTGAGTCACGGTAGTTGCTTTTGTGGGGATTCGATTTTTTACTTCTTCAATACTGCAAATCTCTGCAACAAAAACTCTGTTCTCCAGACATCCTCAGAAAATGAATTCAAATGTTGTGACGTCCGGAAAATGGGGTGGCTACTAAATTGGTCCACCACTACCAATCCTGCGATCTGAGAGTGTTTCATCAAGCAAATTCAGGTACCCAATGTGTAGCTAAATGGCAGGAGTACCATTCTGTTGGAAAACAAAGTTTGGTTGCATCTCTTATAATTGCGGTACAGCAAACAATCTCGGCATATTAAAGTAAACGTTCGAATTAAATGATGACACAGAGAAAATGAAACGCCCAATCAATTTTGTATGAGTTAGTGAACATCAGACGTTAATTTTGGGGCTACCTCCCTCAGTTTCTCTTACACAGTGAAGGTTTACTGATACCGAAAACATTGCAGTTAATTCGATTAACCTTTCCTGAAACATGAAATGTAGCTTCGTCACTGAATACGATTTTCTGAAGAAATTAATCGTCATTACTGATACGTTCAAGAATGCCCACAAAGTATTCCTTACGAACGACTCGACCATTAGGTTTGATTTGTAACCAAACCTGCAATTTGTGCGCAGTCAATTTCAGCCATTCAAGAACAATTCTATGAACAGTCTACCTGAAAATTCCTGTTTACAGGCTCGCACGACGAATGGATTTACTGGAACTGTAACATATCTCGAATGGCATAAACATATCTCGAATGGCGGAAGCATTTCATCACTTTTGGATTACCTGTATCTCCTTTATGTAAAACATGTCCAGTCTCTCGCAAATGCTTGAACAATCTTTTAATTGATTGTTCCGTTGGTGTAGGTTCATTAAATTAATGTCGAAATGGCTTCTGAACTGTATTCGAAGATTTTGCTTCCCAAAACCAGGAAACGCACATTGCTGTTCCACTGCATGACGCCATTTTGTCTGAAACAAACAAGCTCCCTGTTGCCCTTCCCAAAAATTAGAACAAGCGAAATTACTTGAACTAAAGCTTATATCGATATAAATTATTTCTGGTTACTTCACAAAATTATGTTTCAATTTTCTTTTGTTATCCGGTGATTACAATATGGACATCTTATATTAAACCTTCATGCAGATAAATCACTAATAACTTAACTAAGAAATAATTATGAATTTCACTAAGCATAATGAAGCAGTATTTACCTGTTTCTCTTTAGTTGCGAATCTGCCACGTATAGACCACACGAAACTTATATTTTGTGATTGGTAAATACTATCACTACCTCTATTTTTCTCCATAAAATAAACATCTGACAGGTTAAGTGGACGTGCAACGCCTGACTATGTAAAGATGTTTTGACTTAAAAGCATACAGCAGATAATAGTCAAACCAAGCCTCTTTGGCTCGTTAAATGTGATTCGCTTTTTAATAGATAGTAGTTTTATTATCGAAACTAACCTCAATTTGAATCAGATATTACAGCAATATGCTATACGTAATTAACAAGCAGCAGTTGAATGTTTTAATTACACCATGCGTATAAAACTTTTAAAACTATTTCAAAATCTGCTGAGTACGTATGTTACCAAAGAGGTAAATATAAAACAAATAATTCCATTTCAGTTGCTTTAAGCGGTGCCCAACTATCTTAAATGTCCGTGAAGACAGCCAAGTGACTTACCGCCCCGTCTTGATCCTTTAGCAAATGAACGTCAGATCAAGAGATGGTTTGAAGCAAACGTTTCTGTGAGATCCTGGACTTAACAGTTCCGCAGCTCGTATAGTATCAGAAAGGTTACTGCTTCTTGCCTAATTAACATAAAACAAAAGATAAAGGTAAATTTAAGTTTTTAAAGTATTATATTCACAAGGCAAAATCCGCCTGTAAGTTTTGTCTCTGGCCTTGACTCACGCGAGCAGAAACGGCTGGCAAAGACTAAAGCTGACAGAAGTCAGTTCAAAGCTATGCGAAAACGATCAACTGTCGCTGCCAAATAACTTTCTCTTAAACTCAAAACACTGTTCTCATTTACATTATCAGTTAGCACCCCAGTGGGAACCGACAAAAGTAGAAACGACAGTAAAGTTAAAAATAATAAGCTAAAATGGGTTAATTAAACATACGACCCTACAGATATTTTACAAGTTATACAGACAACTATACCAACAACGTTCTTTACCCATAATACAATTCAAATTTTACCCAGAGGCAGAATACACATAGTTGCACTTTTCACTGGGAAAAAATACAAAGTTAATGTAAAGAAATACTGAAATGATGTGCAGGAAATTTTCAGATATTGGTTCTCATGTTTGATTTGCTTGAGGAACTGTGTTGTTAGTTGTGCATGAGAATCTGGGTTGTTATTTCAAATCTCAGTTCCCTTTTATGGTATTAATTTAAAATACTTTTTGTATCTCGATTGCAGTTTATACACGTCTCCCCTCTTGTCCATCAAACGTCTGTTTTTACTTGGTGTCCGCCGAAAACATTGGGTCAAATATATCGCGGACGAAAACGTCGTCGTACAAAACCCCCATCGTGCGGGGGTGAAGAAACCATCGTGTTATAAATTATCATCATCGAAAATAAAGCGATTCACAAACTTCGCAGTTCAAAAATACCGTCGTCGAAAATATTGTGGTAAAAATAAAGCGCTTAACATCTTTGCATGAGGATAACGTCGCAGACATGCGTTTTCAGGTTTTAAAAATATAATGATTTGGGAGCGCAAGAAAGAATGAGGGATTTTTTACTTTTGTATTTCATATTTTTGAACTGACTAATAACTTTTTCCTGAAACAATAAGGAAATTTAAGCATTCAAAAATAAAAATCAGCAGAAAAATAATGCTAGGTACAGCAAGTAACAGAATTTTAGACTTAAACCGTTAATATAATTTGTGAAATGAAATGTGGAACAAAACATAAATGACGGCCCGCATCCACGTAAACATACAGCCGCTTGAAATGACGTGAGTTGAGGCCCTTGCATAAACAGAGTTGCCAATTCCATTTGATTTTGTCCTTAGCTTTTCCTGTTAAAGCTGAAATTGTTTCTTAGACCAACGTTTACAGAAGTATCATGCAAAGAATTCCTTTCTCCAGGTAAAGCATGTTAGTTCCAAAAGTTTGAAAACTGATTTTATCCCAAATACGGATGATGGTTCCAGAAACCGTTCCTAAAATAATTAACTTCTTGTTAGAGCTTTCTAAAGAAGAAGAAAGCATAAACTAATATAAAGTGGTTTTAAAAGAGTGCATCTTGCAAAACAAGCGAAACGGAATGCGAAGCTCCAGTAACTTGTTGATACGGTATACATGATGTTAACCAACACTATTCATAGAACTGAATTAAAAAATAAAAAATGGGCTTTAGGTTTTACTTCCTGTAAAACTTTATCTTTTTTATCAGTAGCCACATTAATGATTTTCCCTTAGAAAGTTCTGTCTGCTGGTAAAACTAATGCGAATTATTTTCCAGTGAATTTTTATATTACAATTTCTGTCATTTTGCGACCAAATTTTCAGTTATCTGAAAGGTATGTTTTCGCGAACTTAGGTGCTGTGACATAAGAAACTTTCAATACTTTACGATTTCGTTCTTGGAATGCCTGTTCTGTATGCAGCTTCATTAAAAAGAATTTCTCCCCGTAAAAGTCAATAAAGCTTTTGTTTCTGCCTTTATAGTGAATATTATGTAAATATTGCTTTAACTTTATTAGCTTCATAGAACCATTCCTTTTCTTTCTGTATTTCTTATTCCTATTCTTCCATTCCTTTCTATTCTATTAAAAGCAATAGATGTGAATCTGTACTGAATACATGAATGCTGGATCCTCTTTGCTTAACATTCATTATGGGCTGTTGCACATAAACTATATAAATATAATAAAAGCAAACATGTTTACATAATTATAAACTGCTTTCAGTGCGAATCCCAGTCAAGAAGTATCAAATGAATTCTTTATCATAGTGAATTAGAGAGTGA